ATTCTCACACCAGAGCCAGATGAGGCAAGAGCCACACCCCTGAGCTGCTTCTGGCAATAATTACACAGTAACACCTCTTTAGGATTCCAGCAGTTAATTCTCTTGCAGCAGTTAATTCGTGTTGCATTATACTATACTTCTTACTTGGAAAGGCASAGCTGGGAAACACTTACCTGAAGAGAGGTCGTAGAGAGCTGTGACTGATGTAATGAACTGGCAGCAGAATCGAGGGCTGGCAGTGAAGATCTGCTTCAGGGTCTGGATGGAGCCTGGCACCAGGTTGCAGTAATCATCAACCAAGGTTCGGGCCAGCCTCACACAGAACATGGCCGGGGTCCGCTGCAGGGACAGCACACAGGGGACAGCASATTAAACCCTGTCACAGGCTGCTTCAACAGCTGTGCCCCCACTTTCCCCAAATGGCACTGTGGCTGCTTTCTCTCAGCATTTCAAACACCCACTTGCACAGAAATAAAATTAGTGTATTGCAATATTGAAATAGATGGTGATATTTTGAGTTTACAGTATCCATGGTTTAAAATCAAAATATTTTAGATCAATATTTTGACTCTTGAGATTTTTTTTTTACTACTTCAGCAACATTTCTTCCCTGTGAGGGTGGTGAGGCTCTGGCACAGATTGCCCAGAGAAGCTGTGGCTGTTCCAGCTGGTCAGCATTCAAAGTCAGACTGGACAGGACTTGAAGCAACCTGGTTTTGGTGGAAGGCGTCGCCATGGCAAGGGGTGGAATGGGATGAGCTTCCATCAGAAACCATTTCGTGATTCCATGATTCTAACATAAGTCTGTAATTCAACCGGTTTAGTTGCCATGCATGGTATTTTTAATGTGAAACTTCTGGGGAATGCTCATGTCATTTAAAAGCTGCCATTTGRAAAAAAATACACCTTTTCCTGCTATCCAGGTTATATCCCATCCTGCCCTCTCAAAGGCCACCAGGTAGAAGAAAAGGAAACAGTGCTGKTCTGCCTCCTCCCAGCACAGCCCTTCTGTTAAACAGTTTGACTTCTGCACATCCCACAAAGGAAGTAGGAACAAAGGTGCAATTCCCAAAGCCTGCTGTGGGRAATCTCAATGGGAAAGGAGAAGCCAGAGGAGATTCCCAACCACTGCATTGATAGAAGACAGACACAGGTATTTTGTGCCCAAATTTCAAGAGAGGGGTTTGCCACTTCCACACACAAACCTGCACATCAGGCAGTGTTTATCTCCCAAAATCCAGAGCTGGCTTCTTCGGGCAATGTGACCATGAACTGCCAAGGTTTGCTCTCTGGTTGGTCAAACCCTCCACTGAGTCCTTTCAATATGCAGGGGTTGGGGGGTACTGATAAAACTTCCACTGACAAAAATAAACCTAAACAAGTTTTTTTTTCTTAAACTGCAGCCCATGAATGGCTTRGCAAAGCTATCCCTGATGCCAGAGCAGGACATGGAACGGAACGGACACCAGCATAGACATGGGGGCAGCTGCTGTCAGCTGAAACTGCCAGGGAGGAGCAGCTGTGACCAGCTGCACCCCAATTCACTGTACCCACCCTGAATCACTCTCTGAGCCCTTCCCCGAGCCAGCCCTGCTGCACAGRAGCTGTACCTGCAGCCAGAAGGCAGCACACTCCAGCACAGGRACCCTGCAGACAGCCACTGCCATGGAAACCAGCTTCCCCAGCAAAGCCATCCTGCTGTCATCTGCTTTGTTCCCTTGGGGGCTGAAGAGAGATGAAAAAATGACCTGCCGGACCGAATCCTTGGTCTGCTCTTGGAAATAATTGCACATAATCTCAAGGAGCTGAAGTTCCTGAAGTGAGTTCAGCCTCTGAAAGATTAACAAAGTAAAGCTGTAAAATACATTGAGCCTCTTAAGGAACCAAGAAACAAGTAAAAAGACAGGAACAGTAAAGTCTGAGAGCTTCCCTTGGGGGTGAGGGATTCAATYTTTATGCACAGCATTCACATTCAAGCTTCCTGAACCAGCACTGCATTTACCCGGTGACRCTGAAAAGCTCCGAGCTTCATTTGAACACCTGGATATCCAAAGCTGGCACTTGCTGCACCTGCAAGTGCTGTCCACCATCTGAGAGACGAGACTGACATTGCTGAGGGAGGGGGAATATTTCCTCCCTCTACAAATAACAGCACCTGWGGACACTGCAGGGCAACTGGGGGAGACAGAGCTGGACTCAGCAGCACAAATGGCTGCAGGGCCGTGTACCCCAATAGTCATCAGCAGCTGTGGTTTCTGAGACCTCCATCCCAGTGCCACCCTATGCCCACCCAAACACCCTGGTAGGGCCCGGCTGCAGCACTGGGAGGCTCTGGACAGTCCCCAGGAACTCGAGATCCACCACACCTCCAAATCCCTCCATCAGGGACTTGCCAGCCAGCCCCCTCCCTGCCAAAAATCCTCAGTCACCAGCACCCCAAGAATCCCCTTGGGGCCTCAGTCTCTTCCAGCAGACCCTCATGGACCCCAYCCTACTCTTCCAAACCCTTGGTCTCCAGCAGCAGCCCCTCAGGCACCACMTCCGGCCCATCTAAGCCCTCAATTTACAGCTCCTCCCGCGCCGGAGGGAGCCTGTCCTGCTCCCCTGAGGCCTCAGGCTCCAGCRGGGCTCCTGTCCTGAGCTCTGGGGKCCTGCCCTCCATCCCCACTSCCCGGGGCTAAGTCCCCTGCCCCTATCCCAGGCCGGTCCCGCTGTGCCGGGGTGTCCCTGTCGCACCTTGGGCGGCGCGCCGCGCTCCTTGGGGASCTGGAAGAGGAACTCCTCGAGCAGATCGGTGGGGCCCTTGTCCACGAGCGGCAGCGGCGAGTTCTGCAGCTGGCTGCTGAAGTAGATGTCCAGGTGGTAGAGCACCTCCTTGGCGGCGCTCAGCGCGTCCCGCCGCAGCAGCGAGTGCCGGATGTCGCTCATGGCCCCGGCCCGGTGCCGCTCCCGGTGCCGCTCCCGCTCCCGGCCCCGCTCGGCGCGGCCTCCCCTCGGTAGCGCGGACGAGCGGGCGCTACGGCGGCCCGGCCGGCACAAAAAGGGTCACGCGTGGCCGCCGCCGGCAGCGCCCCCTGGCGGGCCGCCCACAGTGGAGGGGAGCGGGGAGGGAGCCGGGCCTGAGGATGGGCGGGGGGGATTGGGCCYGGGGACCCGGACCTGAGGGGAGTTTGGCCCCGGGGATTGAGGCAGGGCGTCGCAATCCTGGGGGTGCCGGGTGGTGGGGGGCTCTTGGCCCTGGAGAGATCTTTGCCCCGCGGGCTGGTGCTGGGGCTGAGACCTGGAGGGGTCTGGACCTGAGGGGTGTTGGCCGTGTGTGACAGGGGGTTCTGGCCCTTGGGCTGAGCCTTGGGACARTCTTGACCCGGAGGGTGGCCCAGCCCTGGGGGTATTGGCAAGAAAGGGCYCTGATCTTTGTGCCGTCTTGGCCCACAGATGGTGTTAAACCCTGAGACTTATCCTTGAGGGGCTCTTGGCCTGGGTGAGACAGACTCTGGAGAAACCTTGGCCCAGGGGGTTCTCGGTCCTGGGTGTGGCCCCATGGTGAGTCCTGGCCTGAAGAGAGACTGACCATGGAGAGCCGGGGCTGAGGGAGCCTGGCGCTGGTCCAGCCTGGGGAGCCTGCTGGGGAGTTCTGGGTCAGCCCTGGTTCTGCTGTAGGGAGAGCCCCTTCTCTGGGGGTGCTTGGCTCCAGGGGAGGGGCTGGCAGGGCTCCCCAGCCCCATAAGGATCACTGCACACCCCAGGGGCTCTGCTGGGAAACACGGCAGCTGCCTTTGGAGACCGGGAGCACCGGGACATCAGCCAAGGCCACTGAGACAGGGCTGGGTGAGCTGTGGGAATGGGTGGGGGCTGCCACCCCCCAGCACTGCACAGCCATCCCAGGGATGGGACCTGAGCCAGGTGACCTCCTGGGGAGGGCCTGGAATAAGCAACATGGTAAGGATGCGTTTTATGGGACTTCCAGCTTGGCTTCACACTCAAAGACCACACTGGGATGGCTTCCACCAGCCCCAGCACATTCACCGTTTGYTGGAAATGTAGGCTGCTGGACAAGAATGACACATGATGGTGAAATAAACACTTTTTAAGAGAAATTTTATCTGGTGATGAGTGAGAGCTGCCCACACCACACATTGGGGAGCTGCTGATCCCTCTCAGAGATCTCTGGGGYTCATTTCACCTTGCAGAGCTCTTGYTGCTCTCAGCCTTACCTGTGACGGGAGGCATTGGCAGAGGTTGAAAGGGTTCTTTTTTCACTGGGCAGACCTTTCTTCCGTGAAAAATGCCATATGGAGCCTGCGGCCTCACATGCTCCTTGGCTGGGCAACCACTTGGCAAGGTGAGAGTGTGCCTCTCCATAAATGCAGGTGCAGATYCTTCCCCTTCCAGAGTCCTTGGACGACACCAAAGGTAGGTCCTGCTCCTCTCTCCTCCTGTARCCCCCAGGAGCTCCCCTTGACAGGGACACCTCTTCCAGCTCAGCTTAATTTTACCACGATGCTGTGCCCGGGCCAAGCCTGGGTGCAGCGTAGGGGTGAATATGATCCTCGTGGGTGCCTGTGCCTGGGAGGTTCAGAGACTGCTGTGCTCTCTGGGGGTGAGGAGGATTTATGAGGCTTTGGGCAATTTTTGGCATGACCAAATCATGTAATTACCAAATGGCTGCATTATCAACTGAAAGGATGGTGGTGTTGGAGGGAAGTTTGCAGCAAGAGTGGAAGTGGGAAAAGTGAGGATTTAACTGGAGCAGATGCCCCAGAGGGAAAAGTGAGCCTGGGGCCAGCAAATCCTTCCTCAGGCTGAGATTGGTGTGCCAAAAGCTGGTGTGTTTGCCCRTTCTCTCAGCCCATTTATGAGGCTCTAGGTGAGATCAGGCATTCAGGCACCCAGACTTGGGCAGGGCTCAGGTCTCTGATCCCATGAGCTGGTGAAATATTATCCCAGGGAGCTGAGTGCCACGGGAAATACCTCCCAAACTGCCTTCCCCTGTGGGTGGGAGCTGCAGCACTGCCTTTGCAGAGGGTCCTGAGGGACGCAAGACTGCGTGAGGATGGGGCAGGGGCATTGCTTTGGGGGGGTGGGGGAGTGGGGGTGGGGCAGGTTACCCCCAGATGAGGATGCTCCAGGCAGGGAGGGAGCTGGGGAGGGGTGTCAGGGGGGATCCATCCTTTGCTCTGTCCCAGCACAGCTGCTGTAGGGTCTTTGGGGTCCCTGATACTGATGCAAGGAAAAGTGGGAGAGGCACCAGCCAAGAGTTCTTGGCTGCGACACCAGGCCAGAAGAGGTGTCCGGGCTGAGCACTTCTTCATGGGGAATGAGGAAGTGACTGCTCTGTGTCACCATGAAATGGCATTTATTTGTTTGCCAGTGAATTTTCCGCTCCRGCCTTGTGAGTGATCTGGCCTCTTTCCAGGAGGGACAGGTAGGATGAGGGCCCATGCGACAGAGGTGCATAATCCCTGCATCCTGGTGGTTCACTGGAAAACAGAGGCCTCCCAGTGAAACCTGTACAGCCAGTGGGAACACCCCAGTCATCCCTGTAGTCTGTGCCAAATCCCTCTCCCAGCAAAGAGGGCTGAGCCCCTCCTGTTCCTCTGCACAGGATGGCAGCCTCGAGGCTGGTGCTGTCGCTGCTGGTCGCAGCTCTCCTGCTGCACGTGGCCACCACGCTCAAGGTCGGCGCCTTCAACATTAAAGCCTTTGGGGACACCAAGATGTCCAACCAGACCGTGGCAAACATCATCGTCTCTGTGAGTGCAGGGAGAGGAGCAGATCTGGACACTCTCTGCTCTTTGAGGAGAAGCCAGCTTGGGCAGCGGGACACCTGCTTTCTCCATCCATCCATCCATCCATCCCTCCATCCATCCATCCATCCATCCATCCATCTGTCCAAGCCTTCATCCACCCACCCATCTGCTCTTCCTCCATCACCATCTCCCACCTAGGGCCTTCTCCACTCTTGCTGGTCCCCAATCAATGCTGGGTGACGCTTGGTGCTGCTCAGGTTCCTTCCTCAGCAGCTGCTGGGATGGTGGGGGCTGGACAGCCAGAGGGCACTGTGTGAGCCCAGGGGAGGACACGAGCAGGGGAGTCCCCTCCCTGGCCCAGAGGCTCCTGCTGCCCTCCCATTGCCAGCCTGGGAGCCTTTGCAGCCCAGAACAGGCACCCATGGGTGCCACATGAGCAGCTCCCGGCCAGGGCAGAGCAGCTCTGAGCTTGTCCCCCCAGATCCTGTCGGAGTACGACATCATTCTGGTGCAGGAGGTCCGGGACGCTGACCTGAGTGCTGTGAAGGACCTCATGGACCAGCTCAACAGGTGACCCTGACCTCTCAGTGTGGGGGTGACTGCAAAGGGGACTGTGGGACTGATTCCAGCCACAGGGCACCTCTGGCTCAGCTGGAGAGAGCCCAGTGTGTGCTGGGGAGCCTCAGAAGCCTCCTCTCACCTCTCCCCATCCTTCTTCCAGGGCTGGGGAGCACCCATACAGCTTTTTGGACAGCATCCCCCTGGGTCGGACCAGCTACAAGGAGCAATACCTCTTCATCTACAGGTAAGGGWTGCTGCCAGGTGTCACCTGCTGCCCTCCCCAGCAGCCCCTGAAGGGGATGGGGGCCCTGGCTGTGGCAGGAGCAGTGCTGGGGGCTGCCCTGCTCTCCTCCCTCAGGTCAGACATGGTCTCTGTGCTGGAAAGCTACTACTACGATGACGGCTGCGAACCCTGTGGGACTGACACCTTCAGCAGGGAGCCCTTCATTGTGAAGTTCTCCTCACCCACCACACGTGAGCAGAGCTGACATTGGGGGATGCCCAGACCTGGCAGAGGGTCCCCTCCACACAGGGCTGAGCCCACAGCTGTGCCTGCCAAGCGTGGGGGGGTTGCAACCCTCCACCAGGATCCTTTGTTGTGGTGGGGCCATCTTCCATCCATGGATGCCCAGGGGTCCTGTGTCCCTGCAAAGCATGGCCAGCACTGCCTGCTGTTTCCCACCATGTGCCATCTCCTACCAATTCCYATCACCTCCCAGTTCCTGTCATCTCCCACCATGTGTTCTCTCCAGCTGCTTCCCATTGTGTCCCATTATCTGCTACCTCCCACTTCATGGGAATCCCACCATCTGCTTCCTCCAACTGGGTGCCATCTCCCATCATTACCATCTCCCATCAGCTGCCATCTCCCATTCCTTCCATCTCCCATCATGTACCACCTGCCATCCTTCCATCTCCCATCATGTCCCATTTCTCACTTTGTTCCGTTGCCTAACCCATCCAACACCTCCCCCTCCAGAGAACCTCCTCAGGGCACACACACTATCCCATCTCCTTGCCAAAACCATATTGGCTTGGAAATGCTAATGGGAAACAAGCAGCAAACCCCAAACTGTGCACAAAGGCATGCAGCTCCCCACTGGAAATTCCAGTCTCGGGGACAAGTAAAGCACCAAAACCCAACACACCCTTTTCCTTCAACCGCTTTTCCTGGTTGGTAGCTGGGGCTTGGCCTGGGGTGGTTTCCTGGGGTTCCCATTCCCTGCTCAGGGGCTGCACCCAAGCCAGGTGCTGATGGTCAGCTGTCCGGCAGAGGTGCAGGAGCTCGTGTTGGTGCCCCTGCATTCTGAGCCCAGCCATGCAGCACAGGAGATCGATGCTCTCTATGATGTCTACACCGATGTCATCAACAAGTGGGGGACTAACGTAAGCAGCATTGGGGAACTTGGCTCCTCCCCGGGGCAGCCAGGCGGGCAGGTGGGATGAACATGACCCACGGGAGGCTTCTTGTACCCTCAGAGCAGGTGCCACCCCAGCAGTCTCCAGGGAGGTACTCCTGCTATTACTGGGGGTTGTCCCTACACTCTGGGGCACTCCAGAGGGGTTTGTCACCACCCCTTAAGATTTTAGGGAGCCCTTGCTGTCCTGTAAGGTCCACAGGCAGGGACTCAGTGCGCTGCCCTGCAGGACATGCTCTTCCTGGGTGAYTTCAACGCCGACTGCTCCTAYGTGACCAGCTCCCAATGGCCGTCCATCCGCCTGCGCTCCCTCAGCGCCTGCGAGTGGCTCATCCCCGACAGCGCCGACACCACCGTGGCCACCACCGACTGCGCCTACGACCGGTGGGTGCTGCAGTGGGGGGCAGGGACTGGCACGGGGGTCTGGAGGGTGYTAACACCCCTGTGATGCCCTGGCAGCATCGTCGCCTGCGGCACCGCCCTGCGCCAAGACATCGAACCCGGCTCTGCCACCGTCAACAACTTCGATGAGAAATTCCACCTCCAGCTCAAGGATGTGAGTGAGGGGCTGGGTGGGGCAYGTGAGTCCACATTGGGATCTGCCCCACCATACCTCCCAGGAGCAKGGGTGGGCTCCCTGTTCTCAAGGGTGCACCTAAGGGTGGCCTGAATCCAGCTGTTGCACCAGATCAATCCCCCAGATTGATCATTTTGGGGTATAGTCTAACTCTGGGGGTTTGGAGTGGAGCGTTGAGGTCCTAGCCAGCCATGACAGTGACAATGGGTCCAAATGAGCTCAGGTTTCATCAGGTGACTCTTTCCCACACCCAGGCTTTGGCTGTCAGCGACCATTTCCCAGTGGAGGTGACCCTGAAAGCCCGCTGAGCCTGTCCCTGCACCGGTGGCTACCAGGACACCGCRGCATGCACCTGTGTCCCTCGTGGGAGCCCTCATGCCACCAGTGCCAGCCAAGCTGCCCACTGTCTCTGCAAGGAGCCACTCTGGGGTCTTGTGGAAGGGGGATGCTCTCTGCTTCTATTAAAATTGAGCCTTTCCCTGCCTTTGCAGCTCTGGAGGGGAGGTCCCTTCAGTCTCCCCAGCAGCTCCCAGCACCCAAGCCCTTCAGCCCCATCCCAGGAAGGTCCCCAGGGCTGGGGGACCTCCTGTGCTCAAGAGACCCAGACCCTTGGGGTGGTGAGCGCTGCTCCCCTCTCAGCTGATGGTGGCAGAAGCAGGGGCTGTGGGAAGGGGCTGGSAGGCTCCAGGCTCTCCGGGGTGCAGGATGCTCTTCTGCCAGCTCACGGGGCCACATCCTGACAGAGCCGCCTGGCTGCGGGGCGGCTGACGGGGCGCTGACGGGGGAGGATGTGTCACTTCCCCGGGGGCTGGTGCTTCCCGGGGGGTTTCGGTGCCGACACRGCACTGAGGGACACCGGACTCATCCTGAGACTGGGTGTGAGGATGYAAAACCTGGAGGTGCACACGGGAGCCCGGCAAGTCCTGGCATGAACAGATGTCTGAGCCACCTGCTGCATCGTCACCCGGGGGTGACGCCATGGGCCACGGTGATGCTGTGGGCTGGCACGGGGAATGCCAGCCCTCCTGGGGCTGCTTTGGGTCACCAGTGGGGCTGTTCTGGGTGACACTGGGGCTGCTGCAGAGGTTTGCAGTCATCTCCTCTTGCCGTGGCTGGMAGTGCTCACCTGCCTGACCCAGACACCGGCCATTTCCTTCTCTCCCCTCTAATTACACCATCTGAATCACCCAGTTAGGGCCAGCGCCCTTCACCTCCTGCGTGGCCACCATGCCCACTCTGTGATCTGGGGGCCACCCCAGAGGGCAGCCCCCCAAGTCCCACATGCCCACCCAGWCCCACAGGGATGCCCCAGCGCTGTCAAGTCTCCCTGCCTGTCCTTTGCTGCGTCAGCACAGGGATGGCTGGGCTGGCCCCACCCTGTCCCTGTGGGATTTTTGGTTTCCCAATGTGGGAAGGAGCTCAGAGTTATGCCAAAACCCCCACGGGGGTGTCCGACTCATCCTGCTTTGCCGGCACCTCCGCTGGGAATAAAGCCGCCCATCCTGCTGCTGGCAGGGCAGAGGTGCTGCGCATTCAGCAAGGTAAGGACGGATCTGGGCTCAGCTCCTTCAGCTGTGAACTGGGAGARACTGGGATAAGCTGGGATGAGGAGTTGCTCCTTACCCCAACAGTGGGGGCTCTGGTGAAGTTTAAGACTATGGAACAGCCTGGGGTGCCTAGCAGTGGTGGATAGGGCTGGTGGGTGATGAAACATCCTGGTGGGGAGTGAAGCTGGGTGATCCCTGGAGCTGGCAGAGGCAGATTCACTGTGGTGGGACAGGGTTTAGCTTCCTGTGGGACTGGTGAGGCAGCAGCCTGCCCTGGGCAGTGCCCACCAGGACAMACAGTCACACATCAGGACTTGGAAAGAATCTACATCTTCCTTTCTGCTTCTGCCCCAAATCCAAAGTAATTTTCCAAGTTCAGCTCCCATCACTGCATCCGTGTGACCCAGCATCCATCCTGTAAGAATGGGGACCGTGACACTGGTATTGTCCCTGCTGGCGGTGGCTATCCTGTCCCCGGTCACAGCCACGCTGCGTGTCGGTGCCTTCAACATCCAGTCCTTTGGTGACACCAAGATGTCCAACAAGGAAGTGGCAGAGATCATCATCAACGTGAGTGCAACGTGGGGATGGGCTGTGCCCACTGGGGTTCCTKTGCCACGGACATGTGGGGACAGGGCTGAGGATGGGCTGGCATCGCAGTGCTGGGGATGCCCTGGGTGGATGAAGGCTTGGTGGGGACCAAGGCGGAGTATTAGGGACAGCCTACAGTTCCTCTGAGCTCTCCATGGGGACATCTGCCCTGCCATCAAGGGACATGGAGACAGGTGGCAGACTGGCCCTGAGCTGGTAGCAGGTTCCATCCCAGCACCGCTGTCCCTCTGTGCCTCGCAGGTCCTGCTCCGCTAYGACGTGGTGCTGGTGCAGGAGGTGCGCGACTCCGACCTCAGCGCCGTCACCGAGCTCATGGAGCAGCTCAACAGGTACAGGAGGGGCTGGGGMCAGGATGGCAGCACCAGCAGGGAAGGCCAAGCTGCCTGAGCAGTAAAAGGCAAAAATGTTGTCCACCAACAGAGAGTTTATTTTTGGGAAGGAGAATAGGAGAAATGCACTGAGGCAATGAGGAGGCACTGAAAACAACACCAGGATTAATCTGGTGAGGGGGATGGGGATACAAGCTGTGCAAATTCCTTCTGCAAGCTCTAAGTTCACCAGAGCACACAGGATGGAAAGGAATTTCAGCTCTGGCAAGCTTGGTCTACGACATCCAACAGGACAGGGCAGAAGCAAGAGTGGGGGATGAAGGAACAGGCAGATCTCTCACCCCAAGAGCCTGTGAGTGGCAGGGGGACCTCAGCATGGACACAGCAGTGCATGATGCTTTTTGGTGCGTGGCTCTGGCACCCTAGAAGGAAAAGGGRCTGCTGGGGTGGGTTAAAACTGGCCACAGCAGGGTGGCAGCCCCTCCACCAGCTGGGTACTGACCGTGTTTTGGGAAAGGGGATGGCTCAGGATCATGCAGAAGCTGCTGCTGCCGTGTTAAAAGGCAGCACGTGCCCCTGAGCAGGTACGCCCAGCCCATGTCCTCGCCCCTTCCGTGTCCCCTCCATCAYGGCCACAAAGCAGCTTGGGCAGGGAGGGTGACGCTGGGTGCTGCAGGGCCCCAGGCTGCTCACTGACCTAATTTAGCTCTGCTGCAAATGAAGGTGAGGAATGTCCCTGCAGAGAACGGGGTGGCAGGAGCCGCCCCATGTCACGCTGTGCCCAAGGGGTCACCTCAGGGAGAGGTCTGGGGTGCTACACCTCACGTCACCCCACAGCCAGGGCACAATGACCCACGGGGACTGTAGAGCAGGACCAGCTGGTGCAAACCCTGGGGCCACCCAGCTTCTGGACATGCCAAGGCCAGTCCTGGATGGTCCCAGYCACTTCACTGTCCTAACTTTGCGTCTCCCCAGTGCATCCAAATCCCCATATGACTATGAGATCAGTGGGCCCCTGGGACGGGACAACTACAAGGAGATGTACCTGTTCATCTACAGGTAATGGGGCTGGCAGTGCTGGCACCTGTGCCACGGCACTGCTGGGCCACCACCACCATGGAGGGGACACAGGGGCTGTGCCAAGTYCCAGGGTCACCATCCTTTTGTTCCCACAGGACAGATGTTGTGTCTGTGGTGGACACCTACCAATATGAGGACCCCCAGGATGTCTTCAGCCGGGCACCCTTCATCCTCAGGGTCTCAGCACCCAGCACCAGTAAGTGGGGGACAAGTGGCCACACGTGGTGGCATGGTGTGGCCGTGGGGCTGACATCCCTCTCCCCTGGCAGAGGTGAAGGAGTTTGTGCTGGTGCCCCTGCACTCGGCCCCACACGATGCCGTTGCTGAGATTGACGCGCTCTATGATGTCTACCTGGCCATCATCAACAAGTGGGGGACTGATGTGAGTGTCACCAGCACTGGGGAGGGCACTGAGGGTGGGCACCGAGCCCTGGGACTGTTTGACCACACTGGGACCCTGCTCCACGGCAAGGACAGCTGGTGCCTTGGGATGGGGTCCTTGTTCCTGCCCCGTGACAGGGTGTTTCTGTCACCCCACGGGAGGGCTGGGGGCAGGGGCAGCCCCACCACCCACACCACGAGCTCCTCATCTCCCCCGTGCAGAACATGATGTTCCTGGGGGACTTCAACGCCGACTGCTCCTATGTCCAGCCGGGTGACTGGTCATCCATCCGCCTGCGCACCAGTGATGTCTTCAAGTGGCTGCTCCCCGACAGCACTGACACCACTGTGGGCAAGTCAGACTGTGCCTATGATAGGTGAGCACTGCCACCACGGCACCACTGTCYCCCTCCCTGGCACCCTGGGGACCCCCTGGCCCCCCCGCTCACAACAGGGGCAGGAGTGGGACCCAGCATCCACATCTCCCCGGCAGGATTGTGGTGTGTGGCAACAAGCTGAAGAGAAGCATCGTGTCCAATTCAGCTGGAATCTACAATTTCCAGCGTGCTTTCCAGTTGGACCAGGAGGAGGTGAGCCAGGATCACACATTTGGGGCTCTAACATGCATCAAAGCTGGGCTGACCCAGGCTCAGGGCTGCCCTTATCTGTTCAAGGAGCTCAGGGTGACAYAGGACCCAAGGGTGTACATAGGACRRRGAATTTGGGGTCACTGCCTGTCCCCATAGGGAAGAGATGCACAAGGTTTTTTCTGGTCTTCCATGGGCAGGACTCAGGGTATGGGACATCCCAAGCCAATCTTCAACCACCCATCACTGGCACAGAGCCCCCAAATGAGGCATGGGGGGCTCAGAGGGCTGGTGGTCCCCTGCCAGTGCCTGCCCCAAGCCACGCCTGGGCACCTCTCCATGAGATGCCAAAACTGGAGTTTTATGTGTCAAGTGTCTTGGGGCTGGGGACAGCCAGTGTCCCCCCGACAACAGTCAGAAGGTTCTGGCAGGGCAACTGACCATCCTGCTGGCCCCACCAGCACAAGGARGGGTGAGGGGCTCACTGGACATCTCCCACCTCTCGCCCTCCTGCAGGCCCTGGCAGTCAGTGACCACTACCCGGTTGAGGTGAAGCTGACAGCCTGAGCTCCTCCTGCAGCCACAGACCAGGATCCAGCTCCGGCTCCCACCACCAACCCCATGCAGGTGCTCCACTCAGCCTGATCCACAAGCCCTGTGCATGGGCTGCTCCACATCTCTGCCTGGAGAAGGATGGCAGCTGGCTGTGCCCAGACCCTCCAGCCCCATGAACCAGAGCCTGAGGACAGGCCACCAGCCAGGACACTGTGACACAGACAAGCCATGGAACAAAGCATCCATCTCCTACCTCATYGAAGATTTATTGGCAAACCTCATTTCATGATTAAGTGTTGGACAGGAGGGAGGACATCCAAGGAGCTTCGGGCCTGGGCCACAGCATGCTGAGACCCTGTCCCTGTCCATTTCTTGGGGGGCTGAGAGGGCTCTCCCCACCCTCAGGGAAGGCARCAGTGGTGTCAGGCACTCTACAGGCACAAAGGAAAGGAGGGGCTGGGGCGGCCGTGGGAGCAGGTGGCACGTCACCGGTGGCTGGTACTGCAGGTGGCTTCACTGTCAGACCAACAGCTACTGCAGCATTTCAGAGGGTGACTCGACCCCCCAGGACCGGCTGGATCCTCAGCTCTTCCTCTTCTTCAGCATCTCCATGTACATGCGAAGGGACTTCTGGATGGACTCTTTTGACACRAAGGTGATGAAGTTCTTGATGTCTTCCTCCCGGTGAGCCACCAGGCGGTCCAACACCGCCTTCCTCATCATGGTCTTGGTGAGCTGGCGGGCATGGTCTGTGGAAAGGACAGCAAGGATGAGGAGCATGCCCTGTCCTCACCCCTGACCAGCTCTCAAAGCTACCAAATGCCAGTGTAATGGGGAGGGATCACACAGCAAAGTGCTTTGAAACCAGCAGGGAAAGGGGTAAGAAAAACCCACCAGCTGGGAGCTGAACTGGATAAATTCTCATACAATAAATTATGGTTGTACTGTTCAGTGAGATGACTGTTATACTGGCACAGATGACAAAAAGCTGTGTACCTCCTTCTCTTTGTGCCTTCCAGAGCTCAGYCTCTTCCCAATACCTGCCCCCAACACACACTTGCAGGCTCAGGACAGCAGTAACCAAACAAAACTCCTTGTAAGTTGAAACTGCTGTGGCTCTAAAGCTCCCCTGAAACAACCCCTTCAAGTCTGCTCCTGCCAACCAGGCTGTACAAAAGCCAGCAGCACTGCTCCCTTCAGCTCATCCCTGGGCCTGTGCCACTCCAGATGGATCCGTGGATGCTGCTGGAGCAGTAGGGGCTGGTGGAGCTGACTGAGGCCCTGAGCACACATCTGCTCACACCCACAGAGCCAGCTGCAGTGATATGGCAGCACATCTGCAGCACAGATGTTTTACTCATGCACTCAGTGACAGCGAAATGATGCCTGACCCCCTTCCCCCGACATACAGTGATGCCCAAACTGCTCCAGCACCTGGGTGCTACAGTCACCCTCACCAGACACAGCTCTGATGCAGGGGAAGGATCTACACAGGGCCTCCTGGAAGTCATGAGAGGGCACAGCTGAGATGTGCTCCCGAGATGAATTCGAGGTGAGGTGTCACTCACAGGACACCGCAGAAGAGAGGTGGCACGGGCTAGGACAGCTCAGATCTGTGGAGAGCCCTGTCCCAGCCCAGGAACCTTGTGCTGCAATCACAGAGCAACCCAAACAGGACGCCTGCACGGTCTGTCTGTCCTCACCCACACCCCCATCACTGCCATCCCCAGCTCAGCAGAGTGCCAAGAGTTGATTCAGACCACAAAAGCGGCCTGGCAGCCACCCAGCTCTCACCCAGCCTGYTCCCTCGACTCCATGGCAGCTTTCCTGGGCTAACACCTCCACTGACAGACASAGATTCAGTTTGTCTGTGGAGCTCAGACACCTCCAGATTGACTCAGAAGGGCTGCCAGGATGAGCTGAGCTGGAGCCACGTGCCCTGAACGTTAGCACAGTGTCTCACTCTGTTAGCCTATGGCTACCAGAATCACTCTGCAGAGCTTTCCTACCTCCCAGCCACCCACGCCTTCCCTTTTAAAGGAAACTGTTATGTAACCAGCCCTGGTATCTGTGCTTCCCACTCAGACCAGGGCCCCTCCTCTTCTTCCAGAGGTTTACCAGGAAGGGCCAGCCACTGTGCCATGACAGCCGMAGCCTTCTCCATGAGCTTCTCCTCTGGCACCAGCTCATCCACGAGCCCCARCTTGTGGGCCTCAGGTGCGGGATGGAGAGAGCCCAGCTGGAGGGAGCGTTCRGCAACTCGGTGTCCCACAACATTCACAAAAGTGTCCTTAAACCTGCAAGAGATGGAGGGAAAGCCACAGTCAGGGGCAGCTCACCCAGACATCCTGGTCCCACTCCYACAGCAGCTGTGGGGTCAATCACAATCTCAAAATGGTGTAAGAAGAGCCATTTTTGGTAGTACCCCAAGAGAATTCCTTCTCCTCTGCATGAAAGCTGCTCTCTTTACCCTCAGTGCCTGTAAGWCCCAGCTGCGCCCACTTGCTGTGACTGAAAGCTCCTTTCCAACAGCAAATTTRTACATTCTTAGGGCGACCAAGGGCCTGTGTATCAGTATTTCAGTRTCCCCATGCTTTCAGAGATCCCCACATCATGGGATTTTGCAGGTACACAGCATGTACTCAGASAAAAGCACATTCCCAGACTGAGCCTGACTGCTCAACTCATTCTGGAGTTGACTGCAGGGTGAGAACTGAGGTCTTTGTTGGTGCAGGATGTGAGGACATTCTGCAGGCTGAAAGCTTTTCAGATACCTGCAGGACAGGTCAGAAATGAGGTGTCATCTCCTGCAGCTGCAAATACCTGATCCCTGACACACAAACCACACCACAACAACAAGCTGAACTGATTAATTCCTTGAAGATGAATTCTTTTTAGAGACCTACACATGATGCTAGAAGCGGGAGGCACTGGCCTACCAGAAGGGAGCCACAATGCCCAGCTGGGCTTCGTTCAGGCCGATGCTGAATTTGGGGTTCTCTGCCATGATCCTGTAGTCACACGACAGGGCAATGAGGCAGCCCCCGGCCGGGCTGGACCCCTGGCAGAGAGAAGGACAGAGTGAGTCCAGGACATGGTKACAAACATCCCTCAGCCTTGCTGATTGCTCCAGAGAAGGGAAGATACCAGGAACACAGAGCAGATTTCCCTCAAATTTCTCATCACCTGGTTCAAAACAGCCCTAAAGAAAATTTCTGTTGTTTTCCAGTTTCATAGAATCACAGTAGGGTTTGGGTTGGAAGGCACCTTAAAGCCYATTTTATTCCAAACCCCGTGCTACAGGCAGGGACACCTTCCATTAGACCAGGTTGCTCAGAGCTTCATCCAACCTGGCCACTTCCAGGGATGGGGCAGCTACAGCTTCTCTGGGCAACGTGTTCTAGTGCYTCAWCCCCCYCACAGRGAAGATTTYCCTTCCATTTGTGACCATCTTTGCCATGGCTTGGTGCTGCTCAGCCCTGCACAGGATGCCTGAGAGAAAACTCAGGCGCCTTCAATGGGGGRCTGTGGACAAACACTGCCATGAGCTGCCAGGGCAGCACCGCCCTGGAAAACGAAAACAAGACACCAAAAATGTAACAACCCATCAGTGGACATGGAGATTCCAGCAGCACTTCCCTGCTGGCCAAAAACCACGGCTGGAGGAGCAAAACCGGCTGGAAATGCTGAAATGCTGCTGTACCCCAGCAGTGCTGCAGCTTACACAGAGCCTGCAGCATCCCACGCTTTCGTACCTTCCCACACCCCACAGAACTGACAGACATGAATTTCTCCCAGATCCCCCAGCAGATACATCCCTGGATTTGTTTCAGCCTGTTTTTTCAGCTCTCCCTGCCCACACGGTGCAGAGCAGCCTCAGCAGGTGACAATCCCACCCTAGGAAGGCGGGCTGAAGGGACGTACATTGACTGCAGCCACTGTCACCATGTTGGAGCCGTAGAGCCGGAGCCACATCTCCTGCACGGCTCTCCAGAACTCGGCGTAGTGCTCCACGCTCTTCCCACACATCTCAGTGATGTCCAGGCCAGATGAGAATATTTTGGGGACAGCCTGGAATTGGGAATAGACAAATGTCACTGAGAGTCACGGGGCAGGATGGACCCTTTAGCTCTCGGCCTGGAGGCTTGAGGGAAGGGAAAGTGATGAATATGTGATATAAATTAGGGTCTTTTGGGGTTCTGAAAATTTCTCTTCAGTGCTCCCATGGCCTGGATCATCCCATCACCACAGCCTGCAGTGCTGGGCCCCTGCTTACAGCACAATTTGTCACTGTCAGGGTCCCTGTGTGAGTACATCAGCCACAGAGCACAAAACCTGTCCTGTCCTGTCCCATTCCCAGGCACCATTTAGTCCCCATGCCATATATGAAAATAAGCACTGGCATCTCCCAGCAGCTCCCTGCGGGCGAGCCAGGAGACGTCACAGGATGTGTCAGGTTGGCAGATAAGCAGATTTGATTTTCATGACAAAGAACAACACTCAGTTGTTGTTCTTCTGCTAAAAAAGGCGACAGAAGAAAGATCACAGCCCTTCCAAGAGCCAATCCAAGGTGCCTGTGGGCCCTCTCGTGCCCCTGACCAGTGACCCAAACTCAGCAAACACTTACAGAGGTGATGATCACACCCCGACAGGCCCGGTCATTCTCCAGCTTCTCCAGGCTTATGGAAAACTCGGTGAGGAACTCCAGGCTGAGGCTGTTGACTGGRGGGCTCTTGAACTTCATCATGGCAATGCCTGTGCAGGGTAAACACAGGGACATCAGACACCCCCAGAGCAGCTCACACTGCCCTGCCCAGTGCTTCCCTGCTCACCAAACCATGCCTTCCCACTCCTGCCCGTTGAAAAGTTTCCAGAGCAGCAGAAACAAGGGCAAGGTCCTGTCTTTGCCCAGATCCACCCACAGGCCAGGGTCACTCAGCGGGTGGTGGACCTGGAGCACGGACCAGGCCATGTGTGGTGGCACCTCAGGTGTCCCAAAGCCCAGCCACCTTCAGGGCCATGCTGCCCAGCAGTTCCCTTCTCTCTGGGCTCAAAGGGTAAGGTCAAGCCTACAGCTTCTGTCACTGCAAACAGCCTGTGCCCAAGGGGTCACACACCTGCTGGAGCCTGCCAGCACCAYGGGAAGGGCTCTGAGCCTTTATCCCCACCCAGACAGCACTGCCTTACCCAAAAGGTCCTCCCTGTGTGCTGCAGCCATGTCCAGCTGGGGACAGCACAAGGACACACCCAGCCAGACCTGGGAAACCACAAGAAGAGGAACCTTCATTCAGTGCAGGGACAGGGCCCCATGACAACTACTCCTAGTAGCCAGACCACGGAAATTTCCAACAGCTGTTCCCTAATGGACCAGTGCCATTCTCCCAGGTGCCCAAAGCAGGGACCCCACAAAGGGGACAACGCACAGACAGGGGACAGTGACAGTCAGGATCTGCCTGTGGCACCAACCACCTGAAGTATCCACGACTGGTGAGACTCCCAACCCCAAACACTTTTCCCCGAAGGTCCTAAGCAGCCGCAGCTGTAACATCTTTGGTGACTTTCCATGCCCAGAGCCACACGTGCCATGGGACATGGACAGGACCCTGCCTGTACCTGACAATGCCCCTGGAGTGCATGTAACACGGCAGAGGTGCCACCTGCTGTACCTGAGCTCTCGTCCAGCTCCACCTGAATTTTGTTGTTGCTGAAGGAACGACACGAAGCAAGCGGGAGGCCGGGCGGCTGCAGGGGGCTGGGGGGCGGCCGGGTGGCCCTGTCCCACGCTGGGGGCCGGCGGCACAGGGGCAGCACACCTGGGGGACAGAGACAGGTAAGGACGGGCRGGACACAGCCCCCACAAGTGTGGAGTACGCTCCCCAAAACCGCTCTGCGCCGACAGGGTGAGCCATGGGGACTCCATGATCCACTGACACACGATACAGGGGCAGCCCAGCCCACGGCAGGGGGACACTGGGACACGCTGCCGGTGAGGGGGCACAGGGAGGCGGCGGGGGCTCGGGGAGCGGGCGGGGCAGGGCCCGGGCGCACCTGAGCGGCCGATCCAGCGGGCGAGGGTCGCCGCCGCCATCTTGTGCCGGGCTCAAGGGTAAGGGGCGGGGCTTCGTGGGCGGGGCTTGGAAGGGGCGTGGCCTGAGGAAAGGGGCGGGGCCTGGGGAAAAGGACGGGACTCGGCTGCAGCGCAATGGAAGCCCCGCCCATCCCCTAAAGCCCCGCCCACGGCCGGAGGTTTGGCGCGCCCGTGTTGCCCCCCCGTGGTGGCCGCGCTACACCGCCCTGTCCTGCCGGCGCTGTCCGCMCCATTCCACCTGCCCTGTCCCGACCTGCGTGCACTCCCGTGCCTTTCCCTCCTGCTCTGCATCCAGCCATGTGCCCAGGGTCCCCCCCACACCTTCCTCCACCTCACAGCCGACTACCCCCGGGCTGGCCCCTGCCCCGGGACGCTGGAGCCCCGGGAGCTCTCGGCCGGGGCCAGCCGCCCCCGCAGAGCGCTGGCCCGGAGCCCCAAGGACGGGAGCCCCGGTGCTGGGCCGTGCCAGCGGTGGCTGCGGATCTCATCATGGTGGAGGCTGCCCGGGGGAGCACTGCAGGGGCCGGGGCCGGCCTTGCCGCGCAGGCAGAAAGCGTCCGGCAGCGGGATGGCGGGGATGGCACTGCCCCTCTGCCTGATCCTCGCTGCCGCTCTGCAGGGCGGTCTGACCCGGGCACCGGCGCCCCCCGCCCGCCCCGGKCCCCTGCTCCTGCGGCTGCGGCGCCTGGAGGAGCAGGTGGGTACTCGGGGTGGGAGGGGGTGATGCACAGCTGTGCCAGGGGGACATTCCGCATTTTGGGGTGGCCAGGGGTCCGGCATAGGGACGTGGGTTCAYCCCACCTCATGCCACTCTCTTGCAGTTTCTCCGGCTCCAGGAGGTGACACGAAACCATCTCCAGAGCATTGCCAGCAACTACAACATCTCCTACAACATCGATGGACGTTTCCAGGCACTGACGGAGCAGGCGGAGGCAGCCGTCGCTGCTCGGGCCGCCCTGRGTGCCGAGCTGGCCCGCCTGGCCACCACCGGCCGGAGGCTGCGCCGCAGGCTGAAGAGGCTGGAGGGGACAGTGGGTGCCCTGAGGCCACCACACAGCCTGCTCACCCACCCACCGGGTGCACAGGTGGCAGTGAACCCCAAACCACATGGCCTGCCGGACACTGCCCGGAGCCGGGACATCCAGCTGGAGCAGGAGCCACCAGGCCAGGCTGTCCCCAGCACCCCCAGCCCTCGGCGCCCGAAGATGAGGCGTTGGCATCAACAYCGGCAGGAGGACGGGCTTTGGCTGCCGGGTGATGCCGGACCTGGTGGAGCACCGGAGGAGRATGAGACTCCTCGTGATGCAGCACCAGCACCCCAGACCATGGCACCTGTGCTCTGCACCGCGATCACGGTGACCCAGGAGCAGCCCCCAGCCCCGCAGCAGCCGGGAGAGGGTGGGTACGGCCCCCTCGCCCCCGTGCCCATCCCACTCGCCTGCCGCACCGGTGCCGTCCTGCTCTTCCCCATCAGCTCCGCTGAGCACGGGGCCGTTCTGGGGCTGGGGCCACACCGGGGGCTGCGGGCGCTGTCACTCTGTGCCTGGCTGGCCACCTCAGCCCCCCGCCTCGGTGCCCTCCTCTCCTACGCCACGGAGGACGGGCACAGCAAGCTGGCCGTGCTTGGCCATGGTGCGGATCGCCCCGGCTCCGCACGTTTCGTCTTGGGGGACGGGCAATTTCGGGAGCTGCCGGTGATGCCGCTCCTGGATGGCAAGTGGCACCACCTGTGCCTCACCTGGTCCTCCGGGCAGGGCCAGTACCGCTTCTACGTGGACAGGAGGCTGCTGGCTGCCGGCTCCAGCTTCCAGCAGGGCTATGAAATTCCCGCTGGTGGCTCACTGGTGCTGGGCTGGGAGCAGGACRGCCCCAACTGGCACTTGGGCACTGCAGAAGCTTTTGTGGGTCACCTGGCTGGCTTCGCTCTCTGGAGACGGGCTCTCCTGCCAGGGGAGGTGGCCAGAATGGCGATCGGAAGGGGGCTGCCCCGCGGCCCTGTCCTCACGCTGACCGATGCCTCCCTGMAGGGCGGGGTGCGGAGGGTGGCGTGTCCCTGCCTCCAGCACTGCCTGTGACGAGCCTGGCAGCAGAAATGGAGGCGGCTGGCTCATGGTGCCGATACYGACASGAGCAGAACCCTCCCGGGGTGATGYGACAYCCAGYAGAGAGGGTGTCTCAGGACCGGGACCACCGGAGGAGGGGGGAAAAGGGAAAGGGGCCTTGGCAGCCACTATGTCAGAGGTGGGACCAAAACCATAGGTCGCCAGCTCCTACATGGTGTRCAGCCCATCTTTGCTATTAAAATGCTCCGGACATTGGAGAAACCTCATTCATTTCTGTCTTGCATTTCACTGTAACGCTCGGTGCCGCTCRCAGCCGGGTAGGAGTGCTCAGCACGGGCAGCCGGAGCTGTTTCTCTGTCCYTGAGTCAGAGCAGGGGAAGCGGAGCACGGGACAGCCCGTGACCGGGRTGAGCCAGCGCTGCCCGAGCTGCCSCCGCCGCTCCCGTGAGCGGCCCCCGCCCGCGGGGCTCCTTGGCGGGGCAGGGCTTTGGGCCTTTTAGCTGTGCTGCTCCAGGGGGCTCAGGAGATGCATACTTAGATAGTCTGCTCTGCGGAATTCTGTGCCYGGAGAGCTGGAGCGGCGGCGGCTCCGGCCGCTYCCGGAGCCCYGTGTTCCCAGGGGTGGCGGGGCCGTGCTGCCGGTTTGGGTGTGCGTGGGGCAAAGCCTCGCGGCGGCCCCGCAACCTCTTGCGCCGCCATCACCGGGGTCCTGCTCAGCCCGTCCCAGTCTGTCCTGTCCTGTCCTGTCCTGTCCGGTCCCTTCCCTTCCCTTCCCGTCCCGTCCCGCAGCCGCTCCGAGCGCTCCCTCAGGGGCCGGTGAGGCACTCCCAGCAGGACTACAACTCCCATGGTGCCTCGGGGCAGCCCAGGGCCGCCGTGACGGTCACATGATGGCGGCGGTCACATGACCGAGCGGCGGGGCAGGCCCGGTGGAGGAGCCGCCGCCGCCGCCCCGCATGGCCAACGTCGCCAAGAAGGTGTCCTGGTCCGGCCGCGACCGCGACGACGACGAGGACGGGCGTGCGGGAGAGACCACCCCGCTGCTCAACGGTACCGGCCCCGGCGCGGCGGGGGCCGCCCGGCAGGTAGGTACCGCCACCGGGAGCGGGGGGTCTGCGCCGTTCCCGGCTCGCTCTGCCCCGGCGGGAGCACAGAGGGGGCTGGGGCAGCGGGTCGGGGTGGTGTCCGCGCCCCCTTCCTCCCCTGCAGTGTTTAGCCGCGTTCGTTGCCCCGGGGCTGGGCGGGGGCGGTCGGGGCTCGGTTTCCCCAGCAGCCCTGAGGGCGGTCGGGGTCGCTCCGGGCTCCCACAGGCTGGGAAAGCAGAATCTGTCGGGGCCCGGCGGGAGCCATGGCGGGGGCACGGGGCACTCACGGGGGAAAATCTGAGCGTGGGGCTGAGTCAGTGCCCAGCCGGCAGCGGTGCGGGCCGGCTCCATCCCTGGTGCAGCTCTTGGCCTCTCCTCCTCCGCCTTGTCACGGTCCCTGCCAGCAAGACCTTGCGCTGCTCCTGCCCGCTGGGACTGCTCTCTTCATTCAGAGAATCACGGCATGGRCTGGATTAGAAGAGAYCTTAAAGCCCATCCTGTTTTACCCYCTGCCATGGKTAGGGACACTTTCCACTAGACCAGGTTGCTGSAAGCTCCATCCARCCTGGCCTTGGACWCTTCCAGGGATCCAGGGGCAGCCACAGCTTCTCTGGGCACCCWGTACCAGGGCCTCMCCACCCTCACAGCGAACAATTTCCTACTAACGYCTAATCTGTTCTCCCTTCTTTTAATTTGTAACCATTCCCCRTGTTGTATCTCTATCTGTCAGTGAAAAGTTTATTTCTCCTAAGTTAACTTCTGCTAAAGATGTCTTTCTGTGAGAGGCTGTTGTCTGACGTGCTGCTGCACCAAATCAACAGGTAGGGCTTGGACGCAAGAGCCTCTAACACTGGTGGAGGGTGCCCTGCAGGACGTACAGAGCTACCCTGGCACAAAGCRGGTCCAGGGTGGGCTGTGTCACACAGGGAGGCCAGTTCCTTCTGGAAAGTTAATTTTGGGTAATTAGGTGAGAAGAAATTCTCTCCAGTAAACCCCCAGCCTGTTAATCAGGCCGTCTGCCTGGCAGTCTCTCCTCCGCATGAGGCTCAGGGAAGAAAACTGAGGCTCCAAGTGAAGCTGAGGATGGGTGGGTTGTGGTATAGAAGGGATGTCAGGATGGGCCCACGGAGCACTTCTGTGCCAGCCCCAGGTGGGACAGGCACTGCCTCCAGGTGACATCTTTGGATTTTCTGTGAGGTTTGCGCTTAGATAGGGAGGAGCAGTGCCAGCAGCTGTTAGCTGGGATATCTCACCTAGCACGATTCTGTGCTGCCCTGCTCCTGGGCAAGTCAGGACAGCAGGCTAATTAGAGGGAAATGCAGGGCTTGTTAGGCTGGAAGAGCCTTGTGTAATGCTCTGTGAGCAGGGAATGGCAGCCAGAAGGGGACAGCTGTGCCATGGCAGCTGTTCCGGGGTGAAAATGGAAGTAATTCTCCAGGGCAGTGCAACAGGACCCTGTATATTTACAGCACATGGGGAATTCTGGGGATTTGCAGGGTGTTAAAATGGGGATTAACAGGATCTCATGGGTGGGGGCCATTAGGGAAAGGTGGTTTGGAAGAAGTGCCTGAGGCCTGCTGCAGCAGGGGCAGTTGGAGGTGGACACCCTGCCCTACCCATGTGATTTATTGTCACCGTGTCCCCTCACAGCAYGGGCAGCTGGTGACATGGTACTATGTGGCATTTTCCTTGGCAAGGGAGGAGACAGAGTACCTTGCTGGAGCTCCAGACCACACATGSCCCTGGCAGTGGCAGCTGGGTTGTCACTGTGATGCTGGGGGTGCATTTTAGTGTCAGGCAGCTGCCTCTCCCTTTGCCCCAGATGCCTTTCAGTCATGGATCAAAGTGGGAAGGCACGACAGCTTTGGCAGAGAAATAAAGAGAGGCTGGAGCTGCCTAGCTCAGGGGACACTAAGACATGGGTTGTGGTAATGCAATAAAAATGTCCCCCAGTGGAGCTTCTTCCCTTTCTCACGTGCCTGTTYAATGAAAATGAAAGCGACCTTAAGTGGGGGCAAAGGAACCACGGGTCTGTAGCTCCCCAGCTGGCAGCTGTGAGGGACTGAGAGCGAGTGCTTGTGGGCAGGAGGTGAGGAGAGGCTGCTCAACACACCTGTGGCCATACAGGGGATGCTACAATCCCTGAGGTCTCCTCTGGTTTGGGGGATAGCTGAGCTGACCAAGCCTCCATCCTCACCAGGCTTATCAAGAAGTGAGAGGCAGCCTGTACCTCTGAGCCTCATGCCTGCCGTGGGCTGTCCCTTCCCTGGGTTCTGGAGCCACGTGTGTTGGTTCTCAGGCTGGGAAGTGGGTGGAAAATTTTAGTAAGAGCAGCCAATTTCCATCATGGAATGGGTTTTTTTTGTCAAAGAACGTTTCTTGTTTGCTCAAAAATTGGCTGTAAGATATTTGTGCTGAAATGCCTTGACTTTGGGATTGGTTTAATGCTGCTGCTTCAGCAGTCTGGAACAAGGGGTCACCATCATGAGGACCTGGCTGCTGCTGCTGGCAGCTCATCCTTCTTTACTCCTGGGTGTTTATTCTGCATCTCTGGGTGTTGTTGGTCTCATTTTCTTTAACCTCAAATAACAAGATGCAAAAAAGCAGCCAGGCTGCAATGAAGAATGGTGGGAGGAGGCAAAAAAGAGAAGTAATTCTGCTGGGTGAGCCCTGATTCCTGGCAGATGTGCTGCAGATTGCACAGCCCAGGTTGCTGGYAGAGAGGCTGCTTGTCCTCACTGCCCTCGAGTGCTGGCAGGAGCTTCCCCAAGCACGGGAGCTTCAGGAAGTTTTCTCAAACCATGAGGGACTGTGGCAGTGCTTCATCCTTGTGCTGCTCCTCTGCAGAGGGGGACAGAGTGGGACAGAGTGTCTGGAGAAAGGCCAGGGCAATGACAGCATTTCCCAGACTYGTGGAGGTGAGGGTCAAGGAGCAGCTGTGCCCTGGGAGTGGCAGCAGGAGCCTGGAAGCAAAATCATGGTCAAGTGGTGACACCTCAGGGAGAGTCTGGGTGCTTTCTCCCCTGCTATGGGCCTTCAGGTGAGGAGCCCTGTTCTATCCTGCTGTGAAACGTTTTGGGGCTGATGCTGGGTTGATTTGAAGCCTTCTCAGCTGAGGTTGTGTGTCAGAGGAGGGGAGTTTTGAAAGCCCTGCAGCTCATCTCCCCCATTCGCTGCCACAGCTGGGGACAGGACTTTCTGTGCTGGTGACAGACCTGGTGACACAGCCTGGAATCTTCCACCCAGGCTGGTACCAGGGCAGAGTGTGCTGGGGCCAGGAGGGCCCTGGGGGATGGAAATCCTCTTCCTTCCCTCTCGCAGCTCTRTCTGTGGTCTGTGCTGGGCTTTATCTCATTGATAASGGAAAGTCAYGTGCTGCCACTTTGTTACTGAGCACAGGACGGTGACAAGGGGCCGTGTATGGGGGGGTCACCTCATTCTGGGTCATTTCTTGCAGGGAGCAGCCTCACTGGCTCATCCCTGTGGAATGGGCTGTGGAGCAGGGTCAGTCACTCCCTACTGATGGTTCTCCAGGGTGGTGTTTGAGGGGCAAGGTTTGGTCACTGTGCACACAGCCTGGGTTGGATCATGGAGATGATCCATTCAGGGCATGAGCAGAAGGTGCTGGTTGAGATCTTCTGCCAGATTTTTTTCTTGTTTGAGGTCATCCTGAACTTGCTCTTGCCTATCTCAAAGAGTGGGTGCCAATGTAACAAAGGGGAAAGGTCTCAGGAGGTCTCTGCAGATCCCTTAGACCAGGTCACTCRGGGACACATCCAGAGGAGATTTGGGTAACTACTCTGCACCCTCTTTGGTYCCAAGTTCAGTGTGTCACCAGCCACAGGGTGAATGTTTGGCTCTCTTATCTGACCAGAAGTTCCATTACTKCAGTTTATCACTGCTTCTTGTCCCATCAATGCAAAGCTTCAAGGAAAGTCTGGCTTTGTCCTGTCTGTAACCTCTTGTTGGGCATCTGGAGATGGCAGGAAGATCTCCCTGAGAAGCACCAGCTTCTCCTCACATGTCTTGCCACATGTTCCAGTCCCTGTCTTGCTGAGCTCACTTTCTGGGCCTTTTCTGTCCCAGGAAGCCCAAACTGATGCCAAGTCCTGGGTGTGCTATTGCAGGTGCCAGATGGAGGTGTGGGATGCCTTCCCCAGATCTTCTGGCAGTG